CTTCCTTCCTTCCTTCCTTCCTTCCTTCCTTCCTTCCTTCCTTCCTTCCTTCCTTCCTTCCTTCCTTCCGCCTTTAAAAGCCTTCTTCTTCTTGTGCCATATCCCTCATTGGACATTGTTGGCCTATTTTCATCATCAGCCCCATGAAAAAGTGCTGCTGCGTTTTTTTCAAACAAGTCCAGTCCTTTAGATTTTTATTTAAAAGCCTACACCTTTTATATAAGATACACTAGTCTGAAAAGATATTACCAGACTACTAATTTTTGCCTCTATAATGACTCTGTAACTTTTCATTTTAACCCTTTCTATGTAAGACTCCCATGTGGTACTATCTGCTAAACCAGTTCTTCCTTCCTCCCTTCCCTCCCTTCTCTCCCTCTCTCGCTCTCCTGCCTTTAAAAAAAACAAACTGCTCTCTTTTCTCCCCTCCCCAAAGCAGCCAATTGGATTTCCCTACCAGTTACTGTAACTTGCCTTCCCTCCAGAAGGAAGCAGTAGCGACTCCGCCAGAGAGAAAGAAGGAGAAAGCAGGGAATCATAGAGAAGAGAAGGAAGTCTGAAGGGTTACTCTAGTGTAGGAGTTCGATAACCGCAGCGTGCTGGGATTCCTTTTGGAAAGCCTGCAAGGTAGGTCGCGCCCGAGGTGAGCATTCAAGCCAAGGCAAACGGGACGCGTTTGTCGCCGTTCGCTGATCGAAAGGAACGCAAAAGATTTATTTTCTTCTTGAAAGTTTCTTGAAAGTTTCTGCGAAGCATACCGACTGTCCAAGTTGGCTCTTTTTCTGAGGTTTCTGGGTGGGCTGCCTAGGTTTCTAAGATTAGGATGAGGTTGAATTGAGTTTTCTCGAAGAGATGCAAACGGATCTGCTTCTGCAGAGCTGTCAGCTCGTTGGACGGAGTTTGACCGACACAAGGTTGACAACACTTTGTCGTGCGTAAAACTGCAACGAAGCCATTCCGGCTTCAAAGCGGGGCGGGGGGGGGGCGGGAATGCTACTAGGGTTGCGAGTCGAGGCACACTTCCCTGATAGTTTGTATCTTTGGAGATTTAACTCCCGAATAAGAAGTCTGTGCTGAGACAACGCAATGTTTTGCCTGCTGAGACATAAGGCCAATTAACTTGATGGAATGCATTCAGAGAAAACTCCTGTAAGTTTCCATTCGAATTAGGCAGCTAAAGCTTCCCATGAATTTGTGGCAGAGGTAGCAACTTCATAACTGAACCTCCCATAGGTGGTTGCCTGCAATCTTCATTTCATTTCTTTTTGACTCTTCGATTTTGTTTTAGTGTAATAAATTTATTCCCGCCAGCCTATTTTTTCTACTAAGTTGAAAGATGGCCTTGCAAAGGCTTTTTCTCCTCTGGGCTTAAGCTTCATTCCTATAAATAAGCCCCATTCAATTCTGTGTCATCTAAGGTGTTTAAGTTTTACACTCCTTGACTTACACGTTCCTCTCTTTTGAGGTTGTCACATTAGAATACGTTGTACTTTCTCCTCCCTAACTATGCAGATGTTTGAACTACAAATGTAACTGGCAAATTGCCTTGATACTGTTGTGTAATGATCAGGGTTGAATGTAACTTTAAACGGCAAAATGGTGGTTACAGTAGCTTGCCTCTTCTTTGTGTGTGTTGCATGGGAGACATACATTAAACCAAGGTCTCCAAACTTGGGAATTTCAAGGCTTGTGGACTTCAAGTCCCAGAATTCCTCAGCCAGCCATGTCCTGCTGGGGAATTTTGCGAGTTGAAGTCCACATATATTAAAGTTGCCAAGTTTGGAGACCTCTGCATTAAACATTGGTAGAGCTTTGATCATACTGTCAGGGTACTAGCCTTAGGCTAGAAATTGAACCATCTAGATTAACATCTCCATTCATTAGTTCCTTCCATTTTTCCTAATTTGCAATTTTACAGAAGGCTGTTAGAAGGAAGGATTCAAAGGTTCTTGTGAAGGATAGATTGGATAAATGATACACAATTAAATTATCAGTTGTAGTTAGATG